GGTCCTTGCAATTTTACACTTACAATGGGAGAAAAATCTGTACCTAACATGCATTTCTTTGCCAAGTGGCTTAGGATAAATGTATTCCCAAATTCTGCCAGTATTTAAGAGCTTTGCAAGTCCTTAGCAAAAGGACTGAAAACAACTCTGGGCAGCTGGATTAAGTGGAAATTTATTGTATATTAGTGTGTACATGAACATGTAAGCAAGCAACTCATTCAGTACTGGACAATTAAAAGGATGTATTTTTCTTTTGCTTAGTGGCTGGCTAATTAAAACATGAGGAGATAGCACAGAAACTACTGCTCTGTGAATCTTCTATTACTCACCTGCTTTTTTTCTGGAAGAACTTAATTACACTGAAGTGCTGTGGGGGTAGCTGAGTGTGCTCATGTTGATGACATCCTTTGTCTTCTGAATCTGATGTACACCCACATGCTGCAGCATCCTGGCTGTTACCTGGCTACTGCTGCTTCCCTCTGTTCTGTGGGGAACCTGACTTCTGGCTGAGCGGTATCCACTGCACTTGTGGCCAAGTATGTTTGGCCAGCACTAATGTTGCCTAGTACCCATGGTAAAGCTGATTCGTAATGGTGTGTGTGGCCGTGGTTTCTCCTTTTCCTTGTTAAGATGAGCCTCTGTGTGTTTGTAAAGCAGTTTGTAAATGCTTGTTAATTCCTTCTGGCCCTTCACTTGCAGCAACTGTTTGTGGGACTGTTCTGTAGAATGTGCCCAGGCACAGATGTGCTTTAAACATAATCCAACAAAATCTTGACCTAAATCAACTGGTCTAGTTGACATGTCCTCAAAACTGTCAACAGAACCCAGTGGGCTGGTAAGTGAAAGACAGGAGCTCTTGGCAGCAGTGCTGCTGTCAGACCTGTTGCTTGTGAAATGATACTGCTGCACACATGTGCAGGATGAAGGCATCTTTCAATCCTTATTGCCATTTCGCCTTCAGCATTTTTGTGGAGAGGTCTTAAATGACAGCAGTGATAAGCTGGTATCAAAGCAGTTGCCACACAGTAGTTGGAAAGTGACTGATCTGCATTAGTGCAACTCGGCAGAAGATCCAATTTCAAACTTGTTCCCTTATCTTGTCTGCAGGTGTATTTGCTGGCCCAAGAACATGGGAAGGAGTAGCTGGTGGTGGGGGAAGAATGCAACAGTGTCAGTTTAGGGGTTTATAGTACTGTGATTCCAAGTTGCTCTAATTTTTTGGTTGGAAACAAGCTTTGCTAACAAGCTGAGCCAGTCATTGCTTTCTGAACTCTGCTGCAGATGAAGCTTGTGTGAATTGAATTAACTCTGAACTGCTGTGCTGCTGGTAGCTCTGATACTGCCTCACACGAGGTGCGTCTTGAAGTGATGATGTTGCAATGTTTCAGCTGTAGTAACTACTTTCTACCCAGCTGTAGTCAGTTCATACCCACAACTGAGTGGATGTCCCCCTCAGGAGGCCTGACCTGTTTGGAGAGGAGTTTGTACTAAAGCAGGAAACTCTTGAGTTCTGCCCATGGCAGTTTAAGTGCAAAGTGTTCCTCCTGAACCTGAGGTAGTACTGTAAGGAGCAAACCTCTCTACACAGAGGTTAATACCATTGATCCCTAGGACCTGTGGGTCTAATCAGAAGGTTGTTGATACTTCTACTAAGTCAGCAGAGCTCTTAAAATGGGATTCTGTCCTGCCCCAGAGAGCATGCAGTGCTGTGGGAGGGCGAGAAGCTCCATTTCAGCTTTTTCTGCTTGAGCCCTGGAGAGGAGCTGTTATGCAAGCTGGGCGATGCAGCAGGGTTAAGTGACCTTCTGGGCAGGAGCTTTCAACAGCCATATTGGGTGGGCCTGGCAGCCTTGTTCTGCCTGCTAAGCACTTAATCCCCTCCTGTCCAGTGTGCTCTGCTTAGCATCCATGAGGCAGTTTTAAACGTTCCTAGCTTTTTCCCTCTCCTGTTTAATCCCTGTAATGCTGCAGCCAGTCAGTTCAGTTTCCTGTGTCTGCTGGAGCTGGCACACTGCATGGGAAGGAGGTTTGTAGGTATTGCTGGTAGTTGGGCTCCCTGAGCATCTGGGTCTCTAACTCCTTGCCTGCTATCAGCTGCTGCTTTTCTACCTTCCTGTGAACAGGGATGCCTAACAAAATGGCTTGGATATAAACTATAGTTCTAAATAAAAGCCTTAAATAACTGTTAAAGATACGGGCCTTGTGCCTTCACCAGCTGAGTTCTGTATAAATGTGCTGTAGGAGTGAATTCATTGAAATACCTGCTCTAATAGCAGGTGCTCTTAAGGTGCTATAGTATGCTCCAGCATACAGCATTTACTGTAAGACTGTGCGCAGGACTCTGTGTGCCATTTACCCATATGCTTTTATTGCTATTTTGGGACAAGTTGGCTCAATCATTTCTGCACCAGCTGGAACTATATCCTAGTGAGCAGCATCCCCAGGCATGGCTGTTGCCTTGAAGTAGTATCTTAAAGCTAGAGTGCCCATGCAATTGCAGAGTCCTCACTCTCCTGTAATTTTAAGTCTCTAAATGCCACCTCTGCTGTTCATGAACTCAGTGTTGCCCCGTTCTCCTTTGTAGAGAAGGAAGATGCCATTTTCTCTTGAATGGAGGATGGAACAGTTTCCCAAAATAAAAGCACTCCTGTTTTGGAATTGACAGCAATGTCACTCTTCAATGTTTTATTTTCTCAAACAGTGCTTCCTTCTGATAATGGCCTCCCTTACAAAGAAGAGGACCTAGCCAGCTGTGTAGAGAGATGCATGGATAATGTTTTGCAAGGGGATACTTGGCTACCTGTTGCAGCTGTGATGGATGAGCTGCCTTGCTAGAGGTGAAGCTGTGTGTCCCAGAGCCCAGGACACTGTGCAGAGCAGGTCTTTTACCACATTGAGATCACTGCTGCATGCTTTTTATCCAGCCTTGGCTATAATGACTGAAACTTTGTGCAGCCAATATTTAGATATGTGAAATTTGTCTGGCCTTTTTTTGTTCTCACTCTCTTGCTCCTTTGGCCTTGACTACTACTCTTGGTTGTTTTGTGGGGACACTCAACTAAATTCTTAACAAATACAGCTCCCAATACTTTAATGCTGCTGGCTGCTAGTAACCAGATACTCGGCTGTACTGCAGTATCATCTGTAGCTAAATGCTGCACCGGCACAGCTTGAAAGGCATGTGTGTATAGGCTAGCCTGAACAGGGCCCAGCACCAGGGCCTCTGTGCTGGTTGGCAGCAGAAAATGTGCTGGCAAGACTAACAGCTAGCAAGAGAGAGCATGAGGCTTGCCTTATGGGAATGCTGGGGCATGTGGCATGTCTTTACCCTACAACTGCAAAGGGAGTGCAAGAGTACATGGATGCTTAACCTGTGTGCCAGGCAGGCAACTTCCATTTCATCAGAGCTGGATGGATGCAGAATGAAATGAAACTAAAGCACTGTCAGACTGGGCATGTACTTGCTTGACTAGCTAAATCATAGCAATTAGCAAGAATGACTGCTATTGTGTCACAGGATTGGCAAGCCCTTCTGCTTTTAATGAAGACACTTAGGTAAAATTTGTTCTAGCTGTTTGTGGTCAGCCTATCAATCTGCAAGCAAGCCTTAAACTAGATGAACTCCTTACACCAGTGGAGGCATTCCCTCCATACACACCAGTGTACACTGGTGGTGGCTGAAAGTGCTGAGACTTGGAACAGAGGTAGCTGGCAGCTGGTCCCTACCACAACCAGAAATAGATGGTGTGGCAGAAAACTTGCAAGTTCAGCATGTTTATGTCAGCAGAGTTTGAATGTATCACACTGTGTGTGTCTAACAGAAGGCAGCATCTAATGCTCAAAGGTAGGCACTTGAAGAGAATCACTTACTAGTGGACTGCTGTTAGGTTAATAAAAGGCACAGTTGGCCTAAAAGTCACAGAGACTTCAGGTCACAATGTCTGCTTGTGCCCACAATGCTTAGGGGTCATGCTCAGTGTCTAGCACACACCTCCAACTTGTCCACAGTACTGATGAAGATTTGCAGGATGGAGAGCTAAAACAGGGTTCTGTGTATTTTACTTTTTTCCAAAGTCATATTTTACTAACATACTGTAAGCAGTATATTTGATTAGAATCATAGAATTGTTTAGGTTGGAAAAGACCTTTAAGATCAAGTTCAACTGTAAACCTAACACTGCCAAGTCTAGCACTAAACCATGTCCCCAAGCATCACATCTACACATCTTTTATATACCTCCAGGGATGGTGACTCTACCACTTCCCTGGGCAGCCTGTTCCAATACCTGACAACCCTTTCAGTAAAGAAATTTTTCCTAATATCAAACCTAAATCTCCCCTGCTGCAACTTGAGGCCATTTCCTCTTGTCCTATCACTAGTTACTTGACAGAAGAGACCAGTACCCACCTCACTACAACCCCCTTTCTGGTAGTTGTAGAGTGATGAGGTCTCCCCTCAGCCTCCTTTTTTCCAGACTAAACCATCCCAGTTCCCTCAGCTGCTCCTCATCAGACTTGTGCTCTAGACCCTTCACCAGCTTTGCTGCCCTTCTCTGGACATGCTCCAGCACCTCAATGTCTTTCCTGTAGTGAGGGGCCCAAAACTGAACACAGTATTTGAGGTGTGGCCTCACCAGTGCTGAGTACAGGGGAACAATCACCTCCCTGCTCCTGCTGGCCATGCTATTTCTGATACAGGCCAGGATGCTGTTGGCTGCCTTGGCCACCTGGGCACACTGCCGGCTCACATTCAGCCGGCTGTCAACCAGCATCCCCAGGTCTTTTTCTGCCGGGCAGCTTTCCAGCCACTCTTCCCCAAGTCTGTGGTGCTGCATTGGGTTGTTGTGATGCAAGTGCAGGACCCAGCACTGAGCCTTGTTGAACCTCATACAGTTGGCCTTGGCCCATCAATCCAGCCTGTCCAGATCCATCTGTAGAGCCTTCCTATCCTTGGGCAGATCAACACTCCTGCCCAACTTGGTGTCTGCAAACTTACTCAATCCCCTTGTCTAGATCGTTGATAAAGATTTTAGATTAGATTAGTATTAACAGAATAGTTCAAGGCCTTGTCATCAGTTTGTAACACCTTACAGATCTCAAAGGTGGGGAAAAATCTTTGGTCATTCTTTTCCAGTCAGTAATTGTTATCCATGGGCGTTCACTTGACTGCATTTAATGATGTTATAAAACAGACTTGTTCAAAACAACTTATAACCTTATTGTAAGGTTTACTTACAGCCTTTCTTACCAGCCTTTCTCTTAAATTTATGAAGTATTGCAGTGCTATACCGGACATTGGCTTCCTTCGTCTCAAGTCCAAGACCCAAACTTTTGTATACAAAAAGTAGTATGCAGGAAAGGTCAAGAACTGCTAGCTGTGAGGCACCACAAACAAAGGATAACTAGTTCCTCCATAGCTCTATAATGCAAGAAGATTGGATCTTACGAACAGTTGTTTCCCTGTGTTTTTATTATTTAATGTCTTATATAATGCTGATTCAGCCTTCAGTGTTGGTCTACATCTGCAAATTATGGTGCGAATGATACAGACTTTAAATTCTCCCTCTCAAACCCTACTCTAAAATACCCACTGCCTGGAGGACAAATGCTGGACCCTTGTTATGGAAGGTTTAAAAAGCATGTGTGGGGGAAATGAGCCTTGGAGAGTATTGCCTGTAGAGTGTGGTACTTTAAATGTAAACATACTTCACAGAACAGATAGCAAGGGTGATGTCTATCACTTTGTAAGCCTTTGCTTCATAGTCCCCTCTCCTCCATAAACAGAAAACCATAATCAAGATGTATGTATAATCAGGGAGCCTGAAAACAAACCACTTTTTTCTTTCAGTGGAAGCTGATAATATGAGGGATTTAGTATTGCACATACTCTTATCAGACTTCATCTCTGACTGGCTGCCAGCCTCTACATGGCATTCAGCAGTCCATCTGTTTGCTGTCTGAAAGATGGAAGGATGAAATAGTGAAGACAGAAGATCACTGGAAACAGTCTTTAAAATACTGCCTGGAGCAACAGGCATGTTTAAGTATGTGAAAGCTGATGTACAGAGGGATGGGCTTAGAAATACTGTAGTCACTAAAGAAAGAATGAAAGCATTTAATGAAGGTATACATCTGTTGCAAAGGAAGTTAATTCTTCCCTTTCTAAAAAAAGCACAGCTTCAATGCTGTATTGAGAGGCTGTGCAAATGAGACATTGATATGTTGTCATTGGGAGCTTAAAGCATAACTTTTTTTTTCTTTAGAGAAAGAAAAAGAAGATCAAGAAAAGCAGCAGAGGGAAGAGCAAGAAAAAACTGTAGAACACACTTCTATAAAGGAAGCCGACAAAACCAGCCGTTCAGGACGACGTCCGACTCGAAGTGCCTTGTCCAGTCGTAATGATCGAAGATCAGCCAAAAGTCCTCAAAAGACAGATGCACCAAAGGAGAATAAACATCCATTTGCTCTGTATGGGTGGGGAGAAAGACAGACAGATACTGGAAGCCAGAAAACTCACAATGTCTGTGCTTCTGCTTCAGCGAGTGAAGTAAGTAAAAGCTTCTGTTTCATTAAAGGGCAGTGACTACTCAATGCCTGGATAAGACGTATGTCTATTATCTAGGTAAAACTTCTCAGGGTTGCCTTTGAGTGCATGGAGATTACAGCAATAAATTCTAAAAAAAAAAAAATAAAAAAAAATTCTAGCAATAAACCTGAAGAGGTTTGATGTGTTCAAATCAAATAGCTCTTAACTGTTAATTGGTTTTGAAACTTCCCATGTTTGACTAATACTTGCAAGTTCTGATTAAAACTTGGCTATCTTGTTTCTGGCTGTTACAGTGCTACCAGCAAAACTGGCTGTTATAAATATATCTCTGCATTCTGAACTTCATGAAAACAAGAGAAAAGCAGCAGGCAGTTAGCACCAGGCATCCCACAGCAGGCAGGTATATAAACACTGGGGTAGTGCTTGTGCTGTGAAAGAGTGACTTTTCCTGGGGCACTCCTTAGGAATGGGAGCCTCACTGAGAAGGTACGAATGCTTTGCTGCTAAAATGTCTGTCTAGCAGCCTGTTTCAGCGGGTTGCCAACAGGGAACATTTTTCTGACAGCAGAATGGTCTATTGGATGGCTGATGGATTGCAGGGTTGATGTAAATATTAGCAAAATAGCACCAAATAAAATTCATATGGTCATGGACAGCACCAGGATTCTGCTGTAGTGGGGTCTGTTTCCTGGCTTAGCAAGAAACACTAAGGTTGGCGTGTTACAACAGATCCATTTCTTTCTTTTCTATAACTCTCCTAGGCTGGTAAAACATCATTAATATATCCCTGCCAGTGTCTTGTCTTTACCTTACTACTAATGCAGAGTCTGAATCTGTGACCCAGGGTACCTGAGGATTAAGGCGAGTGGTGTTCTTGGTGTATAAGATAGAGCTGGCTTCTGATGGGCTGTTTTGGAAGGTGGTTGAAGCATAGTCTTTTCCTTCCTGGACAGCTCAATCCTTTGAGGGGAAATGAGGAACTTGGGCCTTGCAGCTCTTGCAAGAAGCTGCCCTTCCTGATAATGGACGCTGTTACTGGATTGATAAACTTTGGTTAGTGGTGGAAATAGCGACCAGTGCTTTATATTGAAGCCTAACAGGCTGATGCCTGACTTGAGCAGAGATATATATACTTTCTAAGACTTCTAACATTTCCTATGCTGGAAACAGTTACAGAACCCCTAAGATCAGGTCTTGAGTTTGGAGTGAATGAGTGGGATGCTTCTGAAACACTTCCAATTATGTAGTGCTTTGTCACTAAGGATGTTTCCTTAAGTGGGAACTGGCTATGTACTGCCTGGCTAGGTCGCTTTTCTTGAATGTTTGAAAGGTGTTACTTCCCCTAATTGAGATGAGAGACAGGGTTTTAAATCTGGAGATAGAAGCAAGCAAGCATAGAATCTGGCTCTTAAGATTAAATTTGGGGAACATGTGATAATTTATTAATATAAAAATGTATGTAGGTGTGCCTGCAGCATGTTGTCAAAATTAAGTTCTTCAGTCTCTAGTAAGGAATCTCTAGGGATTGGTCTTACTATTATGGCTTAGGTTTTAAGGGATGCTTGGGCATATTTGAGGGACATTTAAGAATTTTAAATGGCAGAAATAGGAAAATTGAGGTTTTTAGAATATGTCAGAGTAAGATTGAGAAATATTCAAGATTTTTGGAGTTGTTTAATAGTGTGAAGTGGGAAAGATAATGCAGAATAGAATTTAAGGCGTTTTTTATAAAAAATTTCTGTGCTTTTCGTCTGTTAGTGGTACAAATTGCAGAAGAAAATACAATCTTGCTAGCAAACCCTGATTCTTCAGGATGGGGACTGGGACAAATACAAAGTGATCCTTGGCTTTCCTGGGGGGGTTCCTAGGCTGTTTTCCTGCTGTAATTCTAACTCTGGTCTTTTAGATTCATGAATCTGCTCTGCGAGCAAAGAACAGGAGACAAGTGGAGAAAAGGAAGCTTTCTCAGAGGCGAGTGCGATCAGCAGAAGCAGAGAAAACTTGGCGAATAAAGCCCTCCCCACCAGATAACCCTTGGATGACAGAGTATATGAGATGCTACTCAGCAAGAGCTCGGTGAATTTGGATTTCCTTAGGCATCTTCAAAAGAAGTTACGCATATCAGGACACTGGTGCAAGGAACCAAACTACTTATGCAAGGTTTTTATAGGGAGTTTCCAGCTGTTAAGATATTTGTTATGATATTTTTATCTTGGCTACCTACCTCACAGTGGGGTGTATTGTTGGAGCCATAACACTTGAAGAGGCTTTTAGATATAGCTACCCAAACTTTTAAACAATTTCTCTTTTGGGAATTTTTCTAATGCTTCAGTTGACTTGTTTTGGGGGGAGGAGGGGGGAACCTTAGCATACAGGGAGTCAAAGCAAACACTTTTTTGAACTTGGTTACAAATAATCTGTTGTCCCATATTTTAAAAATCCAAGTGATGGGGAGGTGGTGTTGGGGAAAGACTTTAAAGGTGTGATGGAGGTGCCTTTGCATTTATAGTACTATTTGATTTAATACTTCTACCAAAATAAGTGTATTAAGACAGGCAACAGGAAAGCCAGTAAACAGCACTAATAAATGTAGATGCTTTAGGCAGGCAAATACCAAGTATTGTCTGTATATAGAAACTTTCAAAAAACCTTGTTTGATTAGTGAATCTGCTGATGATAACTTTTATTGCTGTTTCTAAGGTCATCAGACTAAACTACTAATTTTCAGGGCAAGAAACAGCTACAGGATTGTTTTGCTGTTGCTGTGCCTGTTGTACCAAATAACTGATGTAGACAATCATTACCTGATAGCTGCTGCCTAATAAGCAGTTGCTTGTTCTACTAGTATCATGTTGTACCACTGTATTAAGCTTGTGGACACACTCTAGGCTTAATCATGTAAATGCCAGTTTATTGAAGGAGAGGGCTGGCTCCTGTCTTGTGAAGTCTATTATTAATGCTTAAGAATATCTATTATGCTCAGTGGGGGTCAGAGTGCAATATGCATTCCATCTGGTGGTACTGTACAAGTATACTGTTAAAGATTGTAACCCTGAAAATCATGTTGATAAAACTTGCAGATGAATTCCTGAGCAGCTTTCTGCTTCTCAAAATGGGTGCAGAACTCCTCACTATAGGGGAGTGAGGGCTAGGGGAAGAAGGAGAGGTGTACCCTCCAGTAAACAAGAACATATAATGGAGTTTGAAGACTCTTGCTTTGTAGGTCCTACTTCTACATAGTAAGACAGTCATTGTTTGTGAGATCCTCAGTGGTTTGTTTGGTTTTTTTCCTTCAAGCTGCTGTAAATTATTTTTTTCAGTTTGGTAACTAAGCTTTAGGCAGATTATTGCTGTAGTTGTGAGCTTCAAAGTTTTGTTCAGATGTGTTGTGTGTTAGTTACGTATGTTGGGTTATCTCAGTTTAATTGTTTTGAAGTTTGTGTTTTACCAACTGGACACCTTCTCACAGGAAGCACACTTGCACTTCTGCAGCAGAAACCTGCACTAATCTTAGCTTCATGCCACAATCTCAGTGAGTAGGCAGGACTCTAGAATTACTACTGCAACACAGAGTTACAGGCTTAGTGGAAAGCCTGATTGCAAGTGTTACTGATACACAGTAATCATGCAAAGGGACCAAGCACTGCTGCCTCCTAGTGTTAAGTACATTACATCAGTAAAGGTTTTATTACTCTCAATTTTAATCTTACCAATATGTCCTAGAATCATAATCTGATTTTTTTACCTGCCTTTTAAGTATAAAGCTATAAAAATAGTGACAACTGTTGTTCAGGCTACCTACTAGAGATCTTATAGCTTTTAAGTCTGGGAATGCAAAGTATGATTATGTTTTATACACAGCAAAATTACTGTATTCCAACTTTTAAGTAAACCACAGGCTAGAACTTTCTAAAACTTCAGAACAGTGCCCAAAACTGAGGCAAACTATTCCAGAGGATGCCTTTATTCAATATGAAATTCTTTTAATTTCCTTTTATGCTGTGTTCTTCAAATAGCTGCTGTAAATATGCTTAAGTTGCTTCTGATGCTGTTTCAATTCAGAAATCCACCCTAGCTTTGAACAACAGTATCAAAGCACTAGCTCAGTAGTGTTTAACAGCCTTATTCAATAAAAACTCAGCCTGTCCCTGTTGCCCACAGGCTTTGTAGGCTTTATGTAACTACAGCAGATGGGACTGTGCCCTCAGTGCATTTTGTCATATTAAAGAGTTTCCTTGATTTGGGTAGGGCAAGACTCATCTTGCCATGCTTTCAAAGACGGCTTCTACAGTTCTCTCTTCCCACAGAGAATGGAGGAGCCAAGATGACTATGTGTCTGCCTGAAGTACCCATTTTTGGTTAAGATGGATTTCCCATTAGATGTTGGTTTTCCAATAATTATAGAAGGCTTAAATGTCCTCTGCCTTGGATACTGGGTACTAAACTGAAAACATTTCAAACAACAGGCTTGTTCAGGTGTTCTACAGAACATGAGACTCTTCAACAGCATCAAGGCTGCTGTGTACTGAGGAAATGATCTAGTTTTTATCCTTGTCTGGTCAAGAGCTGTTCCTCACAAAAACAATCTGCTAGAAGACAGTAGTGACACTAATTGGGTCATGTGAGTCACTACCATGCTTTTTCAAATGGTCTGTAGCTAAAAATTGTCCTGGGTGCTATGTTGGTACTATCTTGGTTTAAGTAATATAATGGCTGAAGTGAGGGGTAAATTATTCTGCAAATCAGGTAGCCTTCCTGCATTTGGGCATTATTTGACTAAAAAAATGCTAGTAGGTTTGCTTAGACTATGTGAAATAGTATAGTTCTGATCACTGCAAGTTGTATATGCAAAATATTTGGCATGTGGCAGGCTAAAGTCTGGAAAACCATTATTTTAGTGTTTTGATGTTAACTAATGAAAAGCCAATTGACTTGGAAAGCAGAACTTTTCAAGTGTAAAAGCTTTAACTATGTTCTGTAGATTCTAACAAGAGGTGGCTGTTTTGCATCAAATTAGACTCACTAAAAAAATGGAAAACCTAGTGAATGTCACCCTATCAATTAAGGAAGTTCTGAACTTTGTCTTGCATGGACTCTTGAATTCAGCCAAGTGATGAACACTTCTCGGTCCTGTTTTAAAAGTAAAACTTTGTTTGCAAGAACACAGTAAATATTCAGTTGTCCAAAATCTTCATTAAAATAACTGTTTATTCCTTTTTGTTTCTGAAAGTACTTAGCTAAGTGAAAGAAGATTTTTACAATGTGTAATGCTGCAATTTAACTATAGTGTTGTGAAGACTAGTGTTTACAATGTAAAATGTTACAATGAAAACTGCATAAGAATGTCCCTGTACAATACAGTAGCATGCCTGTTCAGTCACTGCTGTCACATCTTTGCAACTATGAATTACAGACTCTTTCACTGGAAGCTGAGAGAGATAGTCAAGGTAATAGCTAAGCTTAGAGCCAAACTTAACAAAACTAAGGGGCAGACCTGAATTTTTGGTAAGAATTTTATCCAGGTAGCAAATGCACATTTTAATCAAGTTTTTAACATATAGGTGTGTGTATCTGTTCTCATTTTTATTTTATGGTATAATGCAGTGCCACTGAACTATAAAGGCCTCACTGACTCTTTTGTTTTTGACTGTGATAGGGACCAAAAGCTAGCAAACTGAGGGCCTCGTGTGGTAACCTGCATGTTCCAGTTTATTTTCCAGCTCAGTTAGTGCACTCAGCAGCAAAGCCATATGGAGCCTGACTCAACACCTTGACAGTAGCCCCTATACCATTAGGGGTACAAGTGAATAGGAAGTTGCCTCAGCTATTGTTAGCACTGAATTCACTTTAAAAACCATAGGGAAATACCATTTAAGCTTGAAGCAATATGTGTTTTTTAAAGTTTTTAAACAGTACTTGTTTTTAATGCTTCTGTATTGTCTGTATTTAATAGTGTAGTGTCAACTTGTATATGTGAATAAAATGAGTGACACAAAGTGCTTTGACTGCTTGTACTGTGTTTTCTGGGGTCTCAGGTTTTCTAGTACAGGGTGCTTCAGTCTCTGCATGCAAACTCTGGCTTCTGCTTGTCCCATATATTCTCTCCTGGGATGTAAAGTAAGTAAGTGACAGGCTTCTGTAATGTCTGGTGTTAGGTAAAGGGTTGGATTACAGTTACAAGTCCAGCTGAAGAGCTGAGCTTGTCTCCTATGTTCCTCCTGTAACTCTCCCACAGATTCTTAATACCCTTTCCCAATCTGCCTGGCTTTTTCTACCACTAACAAGGGGAAAACAAATACAGTGTAAAATATAATAGCTGTCCAGAGTGCTACGCATGCTGAAGCCTTTGGGAATCTTAACTTAGAACTTTGGAAAAAGGGTTACATGGGGAAAAAACAGGAAGCTGCATCACTAAGAACAAGTACAATCTTGCAAAAAGGAGGAGTTAGTTAAGCTATGAAAGGATGGCTAGACTTACTTAAGTTCTATATGCTGCTGGTTCTACTGTAAATGAAAGAGACCTGGTGTTTTTACTCTGGATTTACAATCTATTTCTTGAGATTTTTATAGTGTTAATTCTTTCAGCATGTAGAATATAATGCAAATGAGTGAGTTGCAGAGTAATTGGGGGTTTTTTTATAGCCTTCATTTTTTAAGGTCTTGAGGGAGCTGTGTACTTTTGAGCCATAAGGTACCTAGTTGAATACAATGAATGGATGAGGTGGGTCAGCTGTGAATTCAATGATGTGAGTTGCCTAATAGTGTGGAGAAGCATCTTCCCCTCTGCTTTAGCTTTTTTAAAGCATTAACTTCTGCAGCCACATTCTCCAAGACCTAAACAGATCCATCTCATCCCTAATCATTAGTGCAGAAAGACACAAGGAAGCAAAGTGCACCTTTGCAGCCATAGAAGACACAGAAGGGAAACAAGGTATTGTTCTTCTCTAACAGGGGGAAGCAGCTGCAGGGCAAAGCTGCCACCAGAGATGGGAATAAGGGCCCTGGCTCCTGGGAAATACACTGAAGCACTCCAGCACCTTTAGCATCTGCTGCTGCTTTCCCAGCAGTATACTGACTCTGTGATGAATTCAGTAGAAGTGTTTTTTCAGGAGCATCTAAGGTTTGTCATGTCATAGACTTCACTTAGCATGCAAAACTTGTACAAGTAAATAGAATGTGCTGTAAGACACCTAGAAAATCAAGAAAGATTCTTTATTTGGTGCTAGACACAAGCATTAAATGAAATAGTGTAGGCCAACAGACTCATTAAAAGGCAAGACATAGGCTTTAATAAGACTTTTAAATCTTGTAAAGGTCTGAACAGCTAAAGCTCCACATCCAGTAAATCCTAGGATATAGGTATCCAGTATTATTTCATGTAAAACTCCAAGCCATCTTGCTTTGGTACAGTAAGAATTTTACACTAAAAACATACATCATTTAACCTATTTATTACTTACTGTTTGGGTGAGCTAGGTTTGGTTTGCTGTGTGAACTATAATGCTAAAAAGCTTAAAATCTACTCCAGGGCTATTATTGGCATGATGTTTATTTTTAGAAATAAGAAACCCTCAGAGGAAAAAAAGTAAACAATATAGCTTGTACTGGTGAGAGCTTTTGCTTCCAACAGTATTTCCCTCAGGAGTTGCCATTTTAGAAAGTTTCTTTTAAAAATGTCAGCAAGATATGCAGCATAAAAGGTTGCAATACTACAAAACATGCACATTAACCTGGTTAATGTGTAATACAGTAAGAGTATACATTAAAAAAATGGTAAAAACCTGTCAAAACTCATTATAATGATACTATTCTTTCCTTCCAGGTAGGAAGGGGGAGAGCTTAAGACAGTTGGTTACAGAAAGAATAAAACTGTGTTTACTGCTGCTTAACCACAGACAGTTGACCAAAACGATCGTAAGAACCAAGTATACAAAAGAGGCCAGTCTTGTATGTAAAGGGAAAAGGACAGGAAGAAGTATAAGAAAATCCCTGCCAAACCCCTAAAATTTCTATTTAAAAGCAACAGAATTAAGTAACAGTCCCCCACTCCCTTCAACTGCTACTGTAGTAACGGAAAGAAGTTTTGATCAACCACCACCACCATCACTTCAACCATTTTAACAGCAACAGGAAAGACCTTTAGCTTTACTTGTGCTATGTCACAGCTGGTAAGCGCATGCTTAGTTTCACTTTTGTCAGTGTACCAAGAAACCTGATTAGATTGTGCTAAGGGGGGGGGAAACAGACTCTCCAATACCTCATCTCTTCCCAGCATTCCAGAACTGGTTTGGGGTTTTAGAACCAACACTCTCCCCTTCCTACCTCTGGCAGAAACACAACACATCCCAGTTAATCTGCCATTTGGACTAGTGGAAGAGGCAACTACATCCAACATCTACTTCAGAGGACTTGCTTTCAGTAATTACTTCCAGTTCTGAGTACTGGAAGCCAAAATAAAATGATTAAGACAGGTAAGTTTCTTTGGAGTTCTTGTAAATGCACACTTGAGCTGCTTCAAAAATACACTTTTACCAGGAAGAGAATACTCCTTGGGAATAATTGTTACCAGTTACATAACAAATCCAGTCCTAAACATAACAAGATACATAGGAGAGAGATAAAACATAAAAGTCTAGACCTAACAGCCTTTTTAAAACTAAACCTAGGCTTTTCAAGTACAAAGCAAACTTAATTCCTTTTAATTCAGAGATGACCTAAGGTATATAGTTTTCAGATAAGCATCCATTTGAACCAAAAATGTCACAACAAAGGGAATAGTTTTAAACACAATTCTAATTCCATGAACGACGGTATACCTCTGTGTAGCATTCTTGCTTTGCTCTTGTGCTTTAACTGCCCTCTAAACTACAGCATCAGTTCTGTTTTCTGGTTTGGTTTTTAAACATGCATTTGACAAATAACCCTTAAATAGAAAAGATTCATATATAGAAAATAATACAGCATGTTTGACCTTGGAATTTCAATACTGGGTTCTGATCAAATTAATTATTTTGTGTTAATTTGCACTTCCAAGGAGACATCCCATTTCTAGTTATACAACTAACTGAGTAAAAACATCACCAGTGCTTCCCATCAGTGCATGTGAAATTGCCCCAATGAATTGGTTGAATTCAGCTACCTCCAGAAACACTAGCATAGTTCTGCAGCTCCTTATCTGGCAAAGGAAAAGCCACAGGTCTCTTACCTGGTCAGTTGTCATGGCACTGTAAAAGTGATATGCAATACTTGTGGTTTGGTCCTCCCTCTTGGACCCTATGCAAGTCTCTTCCTCTTCTGTCTCCAGCTGAGGAATGAGGACAGGATTCCTAATCTCTTGCCCCATGTCTCTTCCCCACAATAAAAAGAGGGCAGGAAAGAAAGTCTGAATTGTGTTTTAACCCCAAACACAGTACCAAGGCTGAAATTCCCCTTGATGAGTTTCACAGGAAGAAAGAACTACTGAAGTAGTACGCTTATTTTTTCTCCCATCACGCAAGTCTCCTGGGGGCAATGTGGACAGCATTGCATATAGCAGTGCACTCACATGAAGTTCAAAAGGTAGAGCTCCAGCAGGACAGACCAAGTTCCTAATTTTAAAGTCTAATTTTAAAGTTCAAGCTCTTAACTGTACTTTATGAATGTTTGAAATTAGTATTTTAAATTTCATACATTCAGGGTATTTTAGAACCACCCATTTGGGTTCAGTTTGTACCTCACCATGTATGCTTCAACAGAGATCATATTTCCACAGCTGATTGCTCTGTTTGTGATAAGAGGTCAGAATTCCTGCTGCGATAATTCTCCATAAGCCCATGCCCCTGCCCTAGAATTGCAACACACACAGAAGATGCACAGTTCTGTTCACATATACATTCCACCTTCATGATGTCAGTGCTATACAAAACATCAGGACCAAGAAAAAAAAAATCCAAGTCAGTCAACAGCCATTTGAGAGACTTAAAAAGTATTTTTTCTAAACTTCTGAAATTTGATAAAAGAGCTTCAGAAGTTAAGAACTGTGATAAAACAGGATATGTGAACATCAATAAAAATTACTCTTCCAACTTGACATACTCGTAAACATAAGTATGGGTCCTAAACATATGTTGAGAATCAGTTATGTCAACAGCTTGTTAGTATGTGGCAAACTAAGTAGGAAAAAATAAAACAACCACCCTTCACTGACAGTGCCAGTGGTTTTATAATCCAGGTCATAAATATAAACTATTGTGCAACAAACAAACATGACAAAGCCTACCTCAGTTAGATTTGTTTATATGATAAAAAAATAAAATATTAAACTGCTTGTAGTGCAACATTCTATCAGCATACATAAGTATACCATGCTTTGTAAATTTACTGTTACATTATTTACAGTATATAGCAATGCTTTAAACTAGAGGTGAAAGAACAAAAATAGGTAATGGAAAATGTTTACATACAGGTATGAGTCTTAATATTGTCCACCAAATTATCAAGTTCACTTTGCAGACTTTCGTGTCATGTGAACATTCCTGCCCCACACCACATGGTACACCTTTCTCTCAGCAGTGGTCTGCTCTGTTTGTAGCTAGTGGAAAGATGTTTTTAAAAACTGCATAGCCTTCAAGCTTTTCTGTTTCTTCAAACACCATTTGCAAGGACAGCTGTAAAATACACAAGAACTCCATCAATTATCTACATCTGGTCACTCTGAAAACTCAACACTTGAAATAAGATCAATAAATATTCACTCCTGTAGAGCCATACCAAAGTTGGACTACATTAATGCCCTTTTCCAGCAGTCTCTTAGTTGAAGGATGATATTTTATAGGAGGAAAATAAGGGAGGAAAGCAGTTCAACAATTCCGATCCATTTATTTAAAATTCTGAGCTTTAATTGGGAGCTAAGCTCCCAGAATACAGAACAAAGCAGGAGACTGTAGAATTGTATGCTGCCTTATTTAACGTTCTCTAAAGGTTCTGCTGGTGTGCACAGCTCAAACAGATAAAAAATGAATACAGTAAAAATGATGCAGTAACTATGCCTGCAGTACTTGTTTAATGCGATATCACTGTCCTCGTATTACAGAAATAAGGATTAATTATGTCAGAATAATTAACTACACAGGGAGAAAGGATCACTTACGTACTGCAAGGAGTTAAGTAAAATCCATGGCTATTGAGAAGTGTCTTAAAGACAACTATTTATAAGAAAGACTAACCACCAAGCTGTTCTTAGGAGTAGGTTATGTGACTTTTATGTCTCTTCCCCTGCCACTGCCACTGCTAAAGGGAAAAATCTCACTTTCTCTGAAGAATGTCTTTGGAAGACTTTTAGAAGACTGTACACCCCTTCACAGGCTGAAACAGTCCTAGAAGAGCTACTTTAGATGACAACACTGCTTAAGCAGCAACTACTACTATTCTCTCGTTTACAATTCTGCTCATAGCAGACAGGAATCAGAACGACTTCAGGCTGCTTTTAGGTAGCAGGAAAAAAAAGTCAGTGGGACTTTGAAATCCAGTATTTCCTTTAATTTTCAAGTCTCAGTCGTTAAAATTCCTATTTTCAGAAAAGGCTACATAATAGCTTTGGAGATAATATTGCACCATATATTTTGTGAATTCTCATTTCTAGTAATATTTGCCCATGATACAACAGAAATGATTCACCTTCTCTACGGTGCATTAAGTAACTATTAGGGCTATAATGCATTTCAGAAATACAGAATTTTAAAATGTTTTCCACAGCATTACTCAGAGTAAGCAAAGATCTAGAAATACTTCAGTAAGACCACTAGTCTTGCTTTAGTGGGCAGAGGGTAGAAGAAAAATCAGAGTATAAAAAAATAATCCATTCTACTGTGCATTATTTCACTAGATTCTATGTTACTTTACAGGCTGTGAAAAAGCCAAGCACTCCATACAGCACATATATGAAATATGGTAATTTACCCAACATCCTGAGATTTTTGTAACCTTACCTTCTGTATCTAAAGTAAGTATTTGGGATTTTGTGTTTTGTTTCTTTAACACCCACATTCTTGAGCACTTTCTGCTTGTGCTCTACGTGGTGATCTCAGCTGTCTCAAGGCAGCATCTCCATACTGAATACCTGAGCCCATTCTTTCTGGATCCAATTCTCCTGATGAGAAACAAAATGGTCACAAGAAGATGGATCACATGTAAATAATACATTCCAGTTTAACTGACAACATTAGATTCAAAAAATGCATAATGATATTCTGCTTTAGTTACAGAGAGATCTATAGCAATTCTGTTTACTTTTGGGCAATTCCAAACCTGTATCATTTTCTCCTGTAATTTCAACTGTGTGCCCTTAGCCATGACAAAGCGGTTTGTCTCCAAGTTAAGCTGCAACAAGAAATGTATTTGCACTAACTGCTTCTAACAAAGGAAATGTTCAAAATGTTTCCTGTGAACACTGTTTAAAAGAGACCTGCTTTCAGAGACTAATGTGCAAAGAAAGGAGTACTGCAGACAACAAGCCAAACAAAAATGGATCAATCTGACAGTAGGATTCCATAAAGCACTGCCCCCAGAGGAAATTATCTCAACCTTCCCTACTTGTGGTATCCATTTCTGCCTACTCCATACCCTGCGCCTACAGAAATGTTCTTATGGCTGTATGGTAAACTGGCCAAGATTAGAAGCATTTAGTCTTAAAAAAAAACCCCCAAAAACCCAAACAACCAACCACCAAACAACAATAAAAAAAAGAATCCCTGTGAGTAATTCAGATCACTTATTCAGGTTCATCGCACACATGTGAGCGCTTTGTAAGTTAGCAGATGACACTACATTGAGGGGACCAGTTGATAGCTCAAGAGTAGGGCTGCCATTCAGGAAAGACCTTGGCTAAGCCAAGGGAACAGGTTAGCAGGAACCTCATGAAATTGAGCAACTACACATACAGAGCTCTGCATCTGTGATGGAACAAGCCCAAGCACTGGTACAGGCTGGGGGCTGACTAGGTAGATAGCAGCAATTGGCTAGCACTGCGACATACTGCCCAGAGGGGCTGTGGAATCTCCATTCCTGGAGCATATAAAAATGTGCCTCGACAAGCCCCAGGCAACTTGCTCTCACTCTGAACCTGAATGTACTTTAAACAGGAGGCTGGACTAGAGACCTCCATAGGTTCTTTCCAGTCTCAATTTTTCCATGATTCAATGCATGTGTGCTGGCACAAAGAAAACAGGAGGAGCTCACTGAAAGTAGGACTTACCTCTGTTATGGTAATACCTCTTTAAATCAGTCATGGCACTACAGTATCATGAGAAACTAGCTATACTTTGCTTTTTGGTTTGGATTTTTGTTTGCTTTTTTTTTGTTTTAAGATGAAAGCTTCTGTTTGCCATTGATTTGATGTAGCAATCAGGAAATTCCTATAAAAATACCATATTCTTTTAATCTAAAAAATTGTGTTTGGCATTCAAAATATGTAATTAGAGTCTGAGACAGACTTTTCAATATAGCCAATACTTAAAACTTTGAAGATATCAAACAGCTAGAATATGAGAGGAAAACTGAAATGCAAATTAGCTGTAATGACACCTAACACTTAGGAGCCTGCCTCCAATAGAAACCTGCCCACTTGCGCTGAGAAGCTTCTGGTATATTTCTAGATCTGCAAAAGTAAAAATGGTTTCAACCGAGAGGCAGGAAGGTCACTTCAAAGAAACATGGTTGCTAGGAAACATCTCTGAAATTTTCAGTATCACTGTTCAAGTTCTCTTGACTGTTATTTCCTGCTATGTATGAGAAGCAGGATTAAAAGTTATGTCCACCCTGATACTAGGTTTTTATTTTGCATTGCTAAAACTGCCTAATGTCAGGCTTGATGTTTGTAGGGACACAGCAACCCACAGAATGCACAACCTACACCGAGTTAACTGTTTAAGATAAACACTGTGTAAAAACATCCATAATTCACAGCACCCCTCCTTTTAGATATACAGATCTGAATTAGACATCCATTCCTATTAAAACATATGGGAAGCAGATATAAACCAAATGGGTTATTCTACGACCATGAAATTTTGGTTCTTTGTGTTAATTCTGTTGGAGAACTTCAAATGGCGCTACTTCCATGTGTACTTTTCGTTTTCAAGGGAAAAAAACCCCAAAACTTTAAAAGAAAATAAATCTCAATTTACCTGATTCAATTTTATTGAGTATTTTTCTTGCACACTGTACAAAGGCCTCTTCAACATTTTCCCCCGTTAGTGCACTTGTTTCCAAGAACATCAGCTCTGCATTTGACACCAGAAAAACAAATCTCAAAACAAGTCTGTAATATCTGATGTAGTAATTCAAAGCATTAAAGCTAGGAACAATAAAAATTTTCTTAAGGAGAACTATTGTCAAATAGTATGGTCGGGAAAAATTAGCTTTTGATGGCAAAACCACAAAAAATTTCCTCTGGAATTTATACATTAACCCTAGAAAGTTGGAATCCAAAGATAATAACCCAGGCTGTGCATGAAACCAAAGAACTTCACATAGTCACCCATTAATAGAAAGTTATATGCAAAAGGACAGCCATTAGCCATAGTTGGTAGAAAAGACTATTTATAAAAGCAAAACCAGATTTTACTGATGGCAGGACTGCAGCACAGAAGCTCAGACTGAGACTGGGTTTAGCTGCCACAGAAATGTGTCCTCAGATGGGAAATTCTGAATGCTACAGACTAGGTAGCAGTCCTCTGGATCCATGCCGTGCACTGAACTCAGTTTCCCATGAGTAAAACTCACTGCTTCCAACTGCAGCACACCCCATCCAACCTTGCCTATGATCCATAGATTCTATAAGATGCTGAAAACTAGGAAATCGTGCTCTTCATTTTCTCCTCAGTCCTTTAGAGGCAAGGCAATACCCAAAGTTGTATTACATTCCCTAGGGAATATATCTCCACATAAAAGGTATTCTTTAAGTAGCAGCTGCGACTGAAAGAATCACTGGTAATAAGACTTAAATAGTACATGTAGTTTTCACTGCAGGCACTGTCCTCTCTCTCTGCCTCATGTACTGACAGAACTTTCTTCTCTGTAGATACTTGACAAGGTACAGTGGCCAAAGTACTCCCTAACTGCACAAAAATTAAATTAAGTATTAAGTATCTTTGAATGCTACATGAAGATTTTGTACTACTTACCATTTTCTTGTGCAAACCGGGATGCTTCTAAAAAAGTAACTTCACGATCTGCATCAAGATCCTTTTTGTTTCCACAGAGTATTATCACAATATTTTGACTTGCTAACATTCTTGCATCTGTCAACCAATTAGTAAGCGCATTGTAGGTTTCCCGGCTATGTAGAAAATGACATCCTTTATTAGAACACACTCAGTTCTCATGAACAGATCACCAAACTAAAACTCAGAAGGCAAATCTCTATTTGCGGCAAACAACAAATTGCTGCTAGTCAGGCAAGTCACCTACACATCTCAGTATGCCAGCTCTGAACTGAAAAGAGTATCAAGTTCCTTCATGAAACTATTTAAAAGCTTCAAGTTTTTCAAAAGCAAAACTAAATCAACCACAAAATATAAATAAATACACACAATTACAGAATACCCTGTTAATGTGAAAAGCTAAAATTTTAAGCACTAATCTAGTTTCAGCCTTTTGCATATGAAATTTTGGGGTAACAAAATGAATTCCATGTTAAACAATAACTCAACTGATACTTAAGTTTCAGGTCAGATTGTAAGAATTTACTAAACTTGTGGAGAATCACATGCCTGAACTTTCACATTTGTGTCAAGACCAATAATACTGCAGGGAGTTACCCTGCACACACCATTAGTCATTGTAGTGGTGGTCACAGATAAAGCCTTCAAGCGGTAAGACTGACATATGAGTCCAACTGACCTTAAGCACAAACCACAGATTTCAAAGACTGCTCAGAGGAGAACAGTCCACTCACAGGACAAAAAGCAACAGATCTAGCGAATCATCATTAATCAACACAAAACTTATCTGACAAATATCCATCAACGGTGGCCAGGAAAAAAAGTGGAAATGTGTAATGGTAAGGTATTCCTATTGGCTGCCTATAATGATAAAATGTTAAAAGATGCAGAGACAAACAGAATTTTGGGCTATAGTTAAGGAATTTGTAGGTAGACCTAGCTTCTCCAGAGGATGACCTGTTACACCAGCATACTATTAAGCAGTTTCCACAGATAGGGGTGTACCACCTTGGTTAAAAGTGACTAAAGTCTGCTCTTAGTGTCTTTCGCAAGGCTTCCTGAGCCAGTGGTTGCATGTAGTCCACCATGATTACAACAGCTACTGGTGGACCAATTCCCATGTATTTGTCTAATCCTTTGAGACTGTTTACATTTTTGACATTCACAATATCTCATGTAAGCAAGTTCCAAAACTTAAATATGCACTATACCAGAAGTACTTTTTATACTTATTTTCTTTTCTTCCTGCTCATTTTCCATCAGAGGATTAGGTACTTGGGGAGGAATCATTATGCATTAATTGTATCTGGTAGTCTATAAGCAAAAGAGTTGCTAGCTTTCTTACCTGGTTATATCATAGACAAGCAAAGCACCTGCAGCTCCTCTATAGTAACTCCTTGTTACAGACCTGAAATAGAATTACAGATGTACATTTCTGCAATATCTTCATTGTTTCAAATCTGGGTTAATATAATGCAATCTATATTATGAAACCGAATTCTCATTTACATATTTAAAATAAAATGTGGGTTTTAGATTACATTATCAGCTGTGCAGCAGCACACTATTTACAACTAGACTTTTGACGAAGCACTTTCACTAAATATAGCTGTACAGGGATTCTCAAAGTCCCTTATGACCTGTGTGCTGCTGAAGCTACACATATCATCACACTATATGGCCTGATACAGAACTGGGAGCTGATGGTGACATCTGTGGCATGAAAACAGCATAATTAACTTATGTTTGAACTCTCAGCAGTGAGAGCAACCAAAGTAGCTGTAACTGAACAATTTAAGACTCCTTAAGTTGAAGAGGAGGAGGCAAGGAAAGCAAAGCAAAGCATCCTTCAGAAGGCAGAGGAAGAAGAGAAAAACTGCTAAGTATGCAGAAGTGTGATCAGCCTTAAAAAAAAAGAATTAGATAGATTACAAAAAGCAACAAGAAAAAAAGGACCTGCAAGCCTGTGAGCACTTTGAACTTGAAAGAGCAGCATTTGCACAAGCCTCTGAAAGTACAGAGCCTCCAAGCTCCTCAGAATCCCAGGATATTTGGCTAACACACTGAAGAGATCTCATTAACAGAGACTACGCAGCACTACCCAGCTTTACCTAGTCACGGATGTATCCAAAGAACTTGTCTAACAGAGGACATTTACCTGGATTGCTGCCCATTACTCAGACTTCTACCACCATGCTCACCTCTGTTAACCACTGGCCCACCCCTCCCAAACCAAAGAAACCTCCCCCACACAACCCCCCCCAAAAATAAAAAATGATGTCCTATTTGACAGTGAATGTACTTAGGAATACATTAGATCTTTAGTGAGTTTGATCTATGCCTCAGATGTATGACACAGCTAAAATACAGCATTAAAAGTACATTGGTGGTTCTAAGCCAACAAATACATTACTCTTTCTTTAATAAACTTAAAGAGATCTCAGACTTTCTAGAAGTGTATTTAGCCAAGTGAACTTGACAACTGATCTCCCCCACCCCCCAATAAAATAATATTATACTATGAAATTGTTCTCACGCAGATTTTGAACAGCTTACAACTTCCTGGCATTTACTTATTCCAAACAATAGAAAGTCTTCTAAACACAGAGTTAAGCACACATAGTTAAAAACCTATTCCGAGTTTGGCTGGTGAACAAACTTTTAGCCAAATATTCTACTTGTATACCTTAACTATCACAGAAAATACCCAATGAAAGAAAGGGCAGAACCTCTGATCCTGCACAGCAGCATTGCTTTACTGAAATCAACATATCTATGTCACTATGTCCAAGTTGGAAGATCTGGCCTAGTTAATAATATGAAAGTGGACAAACAATTCCACTGACCAAGAAACTAAGCCTATTTATAAGCAGGGATAAATAATACCCAACACCCACAGCAACAATTTCATAACAAACACTTAATAAAATGATTGAAAAGGGTACCTGAATCTCTCTTGTCCTGCTGTATCCCATATCTGCAATTTTACATACTTTCCACCAACATTTATGATCTTTGAACCAAATTCCACTCCTATAGTATGATTTGAGTCATCTTTGACTACAAAAAGAGAAATAAAACCAGACTTACTTGGAGAATATTTAGAGTGAATAATTAGTTTTTACATAATCCAATTTAGGTATTATCAAAACTCCTCAGTGTTCAAATTACAAACTACTTCCTGAACCATCAAATTCAGTGCCACTCATAAGTCTACTGCCACCATGCAGAAATAAACATTCTTACAATTTCTGAACAGCTTATTCAATTCAAAATTACTACTAGAAAGGCCCTGCCTTAATCAAATCATTCCCAGTTCACATTCATAAACACCAAGATAACTTTTGTATGCTTTTTTTCCCCCCCAACTGTGTTTTCTAATATTTTGATGCAATTTAAAATTAAAATTCATGGAAAAGTGCAGAACACAAAGACACAGTCTTGCCCATAAATAAGCAAGAGTTACTTCTTTAAAGCACAAAGTTAAGATACTTGCTCTGTGTACACTGTTGATATCAGAGATTCTCAGCAATATACAACTGCCCTTACTAGAAACAAGGTCACGGCTCAAGTTCAATCATAGAACCACGCTATGTTCCTTAGTGATTACACATTACTAGCCTAGAGCTATTCCTCAAGAGATAAGGTGAATTACTGTTTGGTTAAGAAAGATAACAGTCACCTTAGATTTACAAAGGTTTCTAAGTGCATATTATCTTTGTTTAATCATGATGATAAATGCACTACCTGACAGGAAATTTTCTTTTATATCATCTGTTCATCTCTAAATAACATTTACAATGGAGTCTCTACCAGTATTTATCATAGAACACTGTCCTTAAAGAACACGAAGTATCTATGTATTTAGAGACTACAGGCTTTCTAAATCTACTCAAGCAATTCAACTTTTCTTTTATCTGCTCAGTATCTTAGAAAAAAGATCCAAGTCTCTACTATATATCTAGGGAAGCTTATAGCTACAAGATATAATTCTTAAAAATTTAAGTCTGTATTTTCATCAACATCCCATTATATTTAGTTGAGAGTAATAGCGAATACTGCTCAATATCAGGCTTTTGATCAGAGGCAAACAGTGAGCAATAAAGATTTACAGCATGGTTCTGAACATAATTCTCAGTCAAAATCTTCATCTATATAAATAAGAGAATTACTGGAACTTCCATACAAATGATAGATACTCATGTAGGCAGAGCCTTCATCTGTGGTAAAGCAATGGAGAACTCTTACTGCGCTGACATGTACTTACATTTCTTTTCAATAAACTGGTGTAGTAAACAGGATTTTCCAGTTCCAGCATTTCCTATGACCAAGAACTTAAACAGGAAATCTGAAGAGTCAAAGACAAAAAAAAAAATCCCAAAGCTAAATTTTAGTATGCACTCAGATTTTTGTCACAAGTCCAAGTACACAAGCCAGCTATTCTCTACTAGCTGTTATTCCAAAGAGAAGGGAATAGATGACAAAATTAGCAAAATAACAATAAATCTGAAGAATAACCCAATGCAGTCAATAGTGATGTTGCAAAGTAAGAGCTAAGAACGTTATTTATGGCGATACAAGAATGACAAGAAGAGATGGAAATGGCTGAATTTGAATTCAGTTAAAATAGGCTGAATTACAGGCATATGGCTGGCATGTATTCCAGCAACCTGTTTTAAGAGTAAGCTATTAACTATAGTCAGTACAAATGTCCTATGTAATGATGCCGCTTCTTAAAATCTATGTTTTTGTACTTTTAAGAATTTTTTAAAATTTTATTTTATTCATATTCATTTGAACTTCTCTACATTAACTGCTTAATACTCATACTTTGTTTTAATACTTATAGAAAAATACTGTAGTTGTTCCAGCTTTACAAAATTTACAGGCAACAAATAATTTTTATTCTGGGATGCCTGCTTTCACATTTCCTCCATGTGGCAAATTAAGAAACAGGTACTTCTGGCACTTTACCTATTTATGAGCCATTTACATCAGTGCTCATTAGTAATACATGTATTCAAGATTTATGGTCCATTTGTATTGCTTTAACAGTTACATATAATGCTTTAATACTACCTCCCCAGATCTGCTTTCAGTTTGGCTAAAGACTGAAGAGAGCTTCCTTGTCTTACCATTCTCAAACATATGCACTGATAAACTGTGATTAGAAAGTTTACAATTGCTTCCCCCCAATATATAGCCATCAAGGCAACCTTTACAGATTGTGCAAGATTCACTATTTATTCTTATACCAGCAGCAGCTTTTTTTACAGTCATCTTTACCACTTTATTGCACAGTTTCTTATAAATATAGCAGGTCTCCAGAAGACATCAGGTAAGCATGCAATGAAAAGGATTAAGTTTGCAATATCAACAAAAATAAAAACTTAACATCAGTTTCATTAACAGGGTTCAGAGCTGCCAAATGGGTTACACAGATATTGGCCGAGGGGGTGGCAGAATAAAAAAAATAATAAAACTATGTTAAGCAAGTCAAAGCACTGATACATTACTGTCAGAACTTTTGAGTCTTTAGTTTTACAAATTGAATTTAACATGCACACAAATCTCCATGCTCACTCCCTTTAGGCAGGAATTGTTATTTGTTATGTTACATCATAAACAAGCCCTAGCAACAGTAAAAGCAACAAGCAAGTTTCTCATATGGTAAGAAAATTCCCCCTGTTGAGAAGTCAGTAGCAAAACAGAGGAGTATGAGCCCTGAGAATGTCCACCATCCGTTGTCTTCACCTGTCTTCCAAATTTTATTCATATCTAAAATGAGGTAGTGTTTTACTGAGGATTTTTCTTTTTTACATTTTACCTTTGCGTGATTTTTCTTGTTTCAAATGTTGTAACAGGCTTGGTATAGAGTCTGTATTCTACCCTCCTCAGAAAGAGACTGCTGTTTCTTGCTCACAAATATGACCATTTACACGCTTGAGACATTCTGTTCCAAACGCCTCTCATTCTTCACGCCCCCACCCAGCTGCTCATGCTTTCTGGACAAAAAAATAGTTACAAAAAAGGATTTTACTTCAGGTTGTGAAAATTTTGCATGTTATCTCCTGTAAAGAAGGGCCCTTCATGTCACCTCAACTGCAAAACACGCTGAAGCTGAGAATGCTTTATTCTAGCAAATCTTCACCCTTAGTATGAAATGTAGGTATCATAAATAGCCCCAAAGTGTTAGGTTAAGAAAAAATTAATCTCTAAAAGAAAGCCAAGTTCTCTTTTTATGGTCCAAATACCACTAGTTATCTGCCTTGTGTACCTTTTTGTATATTTAAACTACTGTGGGTGTGTGTAATCTCACTGTTTTTACCACTTTCAGAGAGTTCCTCAAAATGCGAGATGTTCTGAGACATAGTCATAATTAAAATAATCTGTTTCTGGTCTCTGCAGTTTTTCCAAAAATAAATCTGAAATCCAGTTAAAACTGGTTCTCCTATGTATCTGGTGAATGCTGTTTGTCAGATTTTTCATGTTAAAAACTACAACATTTAAGTCCGCCTTCCTTTTTTCCATGGAAGGCTCCTATTATTGACAGTAGTATAACAGCTACTGTAAAACTAAACCAGGAAAAGAATAAAACCAAAACTGTATTCCTACACTAATTTGCTCTGTGATTGTAAGCACTGGTTGTTAAACGTGGTTCATGAACCCATACTGCTACAACCCAAAAAACCATGCTGAACAGCAAATTTAACACACTGCTCCCTTCTGTGCAGACAGGCTGCAGGCCAGTGAGAGATCTGAGAGAACGGTGTTCCTGTCAGGGACTGATCTGGAATAGCTTCAGAACAGCAGTGTATTTTTCCAGACGTGTTTTACGTTGAGGTGCTTTATATTTTGCTCTGAAAGCAAGAGCAATATTCGGGGATTTTATATTAATGTCTTCACACTGATAACATTCTATCAGCACTTTATAATAGACTCCCAATTCCTATCAAGATTCTATTGTGCCAGACAACTTTAAAAGGGTGTCTTTCCTACAAATAAATCACTTAGATGCCAATTCAATACCTGCTTACTTAGTAGACAAAAAAATATAGTTCCCTCTGGCAAAATAGCAAACAAGTTTTCTAAGGTGAAACTTGAAACTGCAGTTACAATTCACTTGTTTACAGTATGAAAGTAAGAGAAATGTGTTTTATTCTACCATGGAATGGAAATATCAAAGTCTTTTAATAAAAAAAATCAAAACCTTTCTGCACCAAAGGCTGCAGCAATGTTTCCAAACACATGTAGACTCGTAAACGACACTTTCAAGTTACATTCACAAATGTAACTGTGCTTCTATCAGTTTAAATGCCAATTTTATGTAAATTGTTCAAAATAGCAAAAGGCTTTTAGACTTATGTTAACAGTTTATCCACAAGCACTGGATAACACATTTCAGAAAATATGGAATACTTTGCACATTTAATCAACTGCAAGGAAGGACAAGAAAAGGGATTTGCCAATGCTAAAAATCACAAATATACATATTTAACAAATTTTTAGGTTCACAGCCTAGCATATTAGTGAGTAAGGTAATACCAGGTAAGAACAGGGAGAACATTTTTCATTTTGTTATTCTGGATCTTCCTTCTTATAATGTCATTCTGTATGATAACAGGAACCACATCAATTACATTTTTATAACTTATTTTATTGCTTGATTTAGGACATGAAATATCTTCTCTTTGAACTGTACAGATGTATCTAAAAATTTAGCACAGTTCAGAAACACAGAAACTGAATGAGATTGGACAGATAGCTTCTTTCAGCCCAACTGTAACATCACTGTGTACTCGCACTCGGGAAAAACTTTTATATATTAATTATTTGCAATTTCACCCAACGCAACTCCTATTCTGGTGTTTGCGCTACTGCTTAATTGCTCTAGTTTTTCTTTTTGGTGTCCTCTTCCCAGAAGAGTTAAGTGACTTCATTTCATAGGCTTTTTTTTTTTTTTTGCGACTGACAAAGCAGCTCTGAGCTCCAACATTCCAGTTAGCTGCCAAGGCTGTCACCCTAGAGAAGTTTTTCTTTTGAATTCTGTTGTTCCTCCTTCATGGGAAAGCTGAAAAGCAGCATCATTCAGATGTTACAAATGCTTGCTACCATGCTGGCTACTGAAAAGGTCTAGAAAAGTTAAAGTACTGTGCCTGTAAATAAGATCATTATATACAGAAAGGATTTAGGACGAAAACTGAACTCTGTGCCAAAAGGAAAAAGGGTTACAAGACATGCACTAAAGAAAGCATAAAGAGATGAAAGATAGCATAGCATGGCTGTTAAAGGAAATAAGGCAATATAAAGAAACAACTTACTCCCCTCTGTGAGCTACATGCATCACCTGATCCTAAACTGGGTAGGGGGTACAGGGAACAAAACTTACTTTCTAGCATAAGGGAAAAGGTGTGGCTCCACCCCCAAGATGCACCAGCAGCTAAACTGCATGGTTGGGGGGGGTGGGAAGGAGGGGGAGCTGAGGGGAAAGGAGAAGGGAGACAATTGTGGGCTTTGACTCAAGTACCAGCAAAACCACATGGCTGATGTGGAAACCATCTCCAGACATCCAGCCTTCTCCTTTGACTGAAGTTTATGCCAGCAGAAGGAAAAATTGAACAGCTTCTGAGCTATTGCAGCTTGGTCTTTAAAATGTAATGAGAATTAAATTGTTTCTTATATGCTTGCTAATACAGAAGGGGGGGGGGAAACCCAATTATATCCTCAATCTCAACTCAGTCTTCTTCCAACTCCTTGATAAAGAGTAGAACTTATATTCACTAAGGCTGACCCTTTGGAAACTCTCTCATTCACACCCTGAAAAAAGAGTCTTCTAGTAGTTAGACATCTTCTGTTTTGCAGAAGTCTGCATAAGGAGAGAGTGCTCTGAAGCATTCCTACTGGCATATGCTGCCTCTAAATGAGAGAAAAGAAGAGCTATTCTCCCTGCTTACTCCTTTCTCTAGCAGTAAGAGTTAACAAGACAAACAGGTAGAACAGATAAACCTGGCTCTATTCCAATCTGCATAAGGAACACTTGGAAGAGGGAAGATCTTCTTTCCTTACAAGCAAACAAGCTATGCCCTCTAAACAATAAAATCAATTTGAAATAAACTGAAGGCCAGGGTGATAAATGCAGAGGCCATCAGATAAGTGGAAGGGGATGGGATGGGGAGAAAAGGATGAATCAAATTGTCCAGATGAAAAAGGAGTATTTTTGAATGGACAAAAAGACTATCTATTCTCTGACAATGACAGAGATAGATACACTTACGTGACCAGACTGGGAATAGTAGATACTGGAGGAGAAAACACAGGGAAGTAGGTACTGAAGAGATTTGACTGGAATCTTACATATCACATTTACTCAAAGGTAGTACAACCTTTTTCCATCTTTCTACCATTTAAAATCCAAAGGCTGTTTTGCATTTACCCATTAAGGCTAAGCTATTTTTATGTCAGTCTATGTCTAGGATAACACAAAGCCATGTACACTTTGCACTGGGAAGCAGGAGAAGGCATGTGTTGTTACATAGTAACTATCTACAGAGAGGCCATTGCATCTCAGAAAACACGAGTTAAAATAATTTTTCTATAAGAGATTTGTTTCCAATGTTATAAAATAAACTTTGTCAAGAATGACCCTCCTCTCCCAAAAGCAGCAGTAAAATGTTCTTTCTAAGCTTAGACTCAAAATTCATGGAGTTTTCTTGTTATTTGTGACTGTTTTGGTTTTGGCACTTTGTAAGGGAAATAAATTGATCACATAGGAAACAAACAGATTAGAAAGCTAAGAACAGAAGATATACAACTGATGAAATAGATCTATAGGAGAGAAAATATGGATTGCTAACAGGGAATTTAGAGCCAAGACTGTAAGAGGCTACAGACCTCGGTTTGAAAAGAGGGAAGAGACAAGAATCACAGTAAGGGACAGAAACAGTAGGGAAAACTGGGTGAACAGAAAAGCTTCAAAGCAGACAGAATTTGACACAGAGAAAAGAACTCAGGGAGGAAAATAAAAATCCCACAACAGGAAGAGACACATAAATTAACTGAGGTGTATAATGAAGTATGATAGGCAGATAGGACAGACCACAGGAAAGGCTCTTTATTTCTCATGGATTGAGAAAAATATCAAAAAAAATACCCCCCCTTTCAAAGGGAAGAGAAAATGAAACCTCACAGCCAAATTAGTCACACAGAAGTCAGACAGCAAAATGACATTAAAAAAACCCCAAACAAAACCACCAACCACTTTCCTGAGCCTCTCTCTATGGGATGAAAAGCTTGAGGTTACATAATTAGAATGGGTCATAATCCAGGCGGTAAGAAGAAAAATCCAATTCATGAATAAGCATTTACAAGGACAGAAACTACAGGGATACCAGCACTGAGGCAATACAGTGGCCACTGATCTCAGTCACCAGGGGGAAACTGCCCTAATAATTCCACCATCCTTGACAATCACTGTAACAGCTGGTCAAAAGCAAACCATGCTTTATTAGGACAGTGAGCACATTAAATCCCAGAAAGTTCATCCAGCACAGAAGATCCACAATTTTATCACATCATACTGTTTACTTTGAACTGTCAGTTGGGCTGCTACATATGTGGACAGGACACTGCAAAATTAGATACTGATTACTGTTATGGTCAGAGATAGTATAGCCATTGTTAAATTTTATGTTATAACTTAGTTTTTGTTCTTCTATCTACTCTAAACCTTGACTTTCTCAAGTATTTTAGCTCCGAATTTTTGTAGCATATGTATGAATAGAACAAACACTGAAGCTTAAAAGAGAGATATACCAAACAAGAATTAAGCAAATAGAAGGAACTACCCACAACTGCAAAACTTCAATTTTAAGGGCTTGTTTTCTAGGACACCAAAACAATCTGTAAGTATCAACAGCTATAGTGGGCTTACAATCGATATTTTGCCTCTCTGGCACAATGCAAAAAAAGTTGTAATGTACTTCTTCAAGATACAATCATCTATTTAGCTTGCTTACTATTACAGCATCAAAAGAGGAGCACCGCTGAAAGTCCCTCTGTCATCTCTGGTTGTCTACCAACCCATTTGCTTAGAGACCACTAATCCCACTATAGGCACAGCCAAAGCAATCCCAGTTCTTCATCACAAGAGTTCAGAGCATGAAGAATTAATCCAAACTCAAATCTAGATTTACAAAGCACACCCCTCTGGTTTCTACATATAGGCTTTACATGCTCCAAGAAAGTATGGAAAAAAGAAGCAGGGTCTTAAAATCCTAAGGTTTGCACTTCAAGGGCTGCCCCACACTCTTGCCTCATTTTGCCCCTTAGTTCTGTGCATTTGCTGTACACCGAAGCACTGACCAGTGGGACAAAACATCTTAAGCACTGGTGACTAGGGAATTGAAAATAAACTGAATTACGTAGCAGAAACAATTGGGTCAGCCTACTAGTAAGAACTCCTGATGCCCATGCCAGCCTCCCTCACAGTTAGCAGAGTTGTTGTGTCCAATTTTGCTTTAGTTATCCAAACTATTCCTTATTTTCAAGACTCTGCTCTAAGAGCAAGAGGATGCAAGTCCAGCTCTAAAGTCTGAACAGCTAACGAATATAAGATGTTGCAACAGAAAAAGCTAGAAAATGTCAAGTGAAAGGGTTTGTCACAGTATTCAATTCTGATCTTACTCTCCAACAACCTACCACATTTGGCTTTGAATACATTTACATGTATGATGGCATTTTTATACTACAAAATATTACAGAACTGTATGTTATGGGAAGGGGAGAAAAACGAAATTGATTCAAGCTGAGTTGTTTCAAGCAAATTTATAAAGAAGAGAAATGAATACTATTCAGTTGCTTCCCACCTCCTCCACCTAGCCAGCAATACTAGCAGCAATACTAGCTCTGCTTACTTTTTCAGCTCCTCACTTCTCTTTGAAGTGAAGATACATTGTGTCAGTGCCTGCACTCCGACTTACTCCTTCAGGTGTTCTTCTACCAGCAGTAGTCAGACATCCATGCCAACATAGGGACGTACGAAGATACTCACTGATCTTTTCCCCCCCTAATTCACTCTCACAATCAGTTCTTTTTGATGCTTGCACACCTAAGACAACAGGACCGAAATCCTAACTTGCCCCTCAAAAGAGCACAACCTCCAATGACAGAAACGTGCAGCTTCTCCCAGAGGACACGCACCGCAACTTTCCTTCCGAATTCACTTAACAAGTAGCTCCCTCGCCTAGATTTCACTTACGTTTCGAGTCAACACCTCCACACCACGAAAGGTAACTCTGAACGCTCGCTGCCATGTCAGCCCGGGCAACAAAGGCAGCTGCAGCGCACGCAGCTCACAAGAACAGGCAAAAAAAGACAAGCGCACCTGACCCGGGGCAGACACACCCGCCCCAGCCCGCAGAACCGCCGCCTGCAACCGCGCTCCTCACCCCACACCGCCTCAGACCCTGCTCCGCCGCCGCCTCCCCGCTCCTCAGGAGGCGACTGCCCGGGCCCCGGCCCGCTCGCCCGGAGCTGGCGGGGGGGAGAAGGAAGAGGAGGGTCCCCCCCGCTCCACCCCCGGTTCCTACCGTAGGTCTCGGACATGGCAGTCTGCGACATTTCAGGAGCGTCCCCCGCCCGGGGACTGCTGCTGACCGGCGGAGGCTCGCGGCCCGGCAGAGCCGAGCGGGCCGGGAGGGAAGCCGGGAGGGAAGCGG